GCCCATGCGAGGGACGGGGGGCGGGGGGGGCACCCCATGCCAGGTGGGAGAGGTCAGGATGGACGGGGTGAGGTCAGAGGGGCTCGCCCTTTCCCCAGTGTGCACGGGAACAAACAGATCTCCCTGCTCTAGACAAGAAGCCCCCAGGGGCCAGTGGGTGGTGTGGTGGTTAAGGAGTCTTGGACCTGGTGGCTTGCTCTCTCACTTTCTCTCTCTCTCTCTTACACTCTGTCCCTCTCTGGTCAAATTAAAAATAAATAAATGTATGTACGTATGTTAAAAAAAAAAAGTTGCCCTGAGATGGTGAACAGGTCGGGTCAGAGCCCTCGGAATGGACACCGACCCCGGGAGACACGCCAAGAGACCCAGAGTCCACTACTGAAAGAATTTTTTTGGCGGAAATAAAGTAAATATAAAAATATAAAGGGTTTTGAAATACTGCTGTCTAGATTAACACCAGCTTCTCACAATGTCCCCACCCTAACTCCAGAATGGACTGCCTGTCTGTAAGATGCTTTTGTCCTTAGTCCCCAAAATACTGTCAACTGAACTCCACGGGTTCTCCTGTCTTTCCACCTGAAATCCTATTATGGGGGTTATTATGCATGCGCGTGTTTCCTAGGCAGGTGATAAACACTTGTTGAATTCATGGAGAAGGAGCGAGGTCACTGACAGGGACAGTAGAGGACACGAGTGACCCGGGGAGACCCACAGATACCGGGGATGAGCAGCAGAAAGGGCACGGCGTGGGGAGGGGCGGGCCGGACTCGGAAGGCAGCCGGGAAGCTCACGTCTACCTCCTGTCTAGGGCCCTCCAGGCGCCATCAAGCCTGCACCCGCGCATCTACCTGTTTTGCTTTCTGGCCTGGAACTCCACCCACCATTTAAAAGGGGATTCCTATGAGGAAAATGCATGCTGTGGTGTAATCGCCTCCTAAGTAGGGACCTTTAGTACTCCTTTGCCCCCAATTACTTTTATATCTTAAAAACACATGGCGGAGCAAACACTTCCGGAACATTCTCCAGAGAACACGGAGGGAACCCTCTTCAAGCCCTCCACTCCCCTATCCAAGAGACACTACGGTCATGAGCACCGGGACTCACCCCCACATTTTCTTTTTGTATTTGTCTGCCAACTTCAGAAGAACTTCCAAGTAAGAATTTCTGCCTGCAGCTCCTGATTTAAACAGACAACATTTTGAAAGGTAAACGCAAAGGATCCACAAAGCAAAGCCACCTGGTGTCCCCCACGACCACAGAGCGGCTGGCGACAGCATGCGCTCGGCTCACCCGTGTCGAGGATGTGGGGCAGCACGGCCACCACGCAGAGCTGGTGCTCCTCACATGTCTTCTTGGCGACATCCTCGTTGACGATCTGTGGGCCCAGGGGACAAGCGGTGGTTGGAGGGGTGCACGACACAACACCCAAAGGGAAGTCTAAAAACGGAGGCGGCACCGCCGCTTCCACGGAGAGGCTAGACAGGCTTCTCCCAGACGTGCTTCCCTGAACTGAGACAGCAGCAGCCGTGCTCCCTGAGAGGGCCCCGCTGCCCCCAAACCCGCGTCTGTGCA